CTAACTATATATACTGATACCTGTGAACTAAGCTACTGCACTGAGGATGACAATCTGTAATGGTAGTTTCATTCATCGAGTGACTGTCATTTTGGTTTTCTGAATACAAGCTACTTCTCATGACATGCCAGTTGCTGCTATGTTGTCTCTTGGGTAGATGATTGTTCAAAAAGAAGGGGGTGGTGAATGAAGGCAAAAGACAGGACAAAAAAAAAAAAGAATTGACTCTGGCAAGTGAGATTTCACCTTTTGCAAATCTGTTAAGATGACAATGTGGTATAAGCTGGTTTACTAGACATTAGACATCAGCCTGAGCAGCGGACCTTATTGGACAGTAGATATCCCTGGAGCAGTGTTCCAGGTGGCCTCCTCACAATCATCACAGGACACTCACACTGTGTCACTGTTGGAATAGTGACAGAGTCATAAACAGAAAGGGAAAAATAGGGCCCAGTCTCCAGCTCCTCCTAGCATTTCCGGGTAGGGTACTGGACTGAGGCCCGAGGCGTGTGGTGAGCGCTGTGGGCGGAGGGGTTCCTCATCACCAAGCAAGCCGAGAGCAACGTGAGGCCGGAGCAAGAGGGCACAGAAAGCTCATGAAGAAGCTATCTTGTCTGGTCACCAGCTAGTGACAATGAGAACATGTGCAAAGTGGTTTCCTTCTTTTTCAAGAGAAAAATCAAGAAGGAGGCTGAGTTTGGAAACAACTTCTCCCCTAAAGAAGAGAGAAAAACCTTTGGTTCTAGTCTTCTCGCGTTTAGCAAGCCCGTGTAAGTGCTTAGGGTCCTGCTACAACAGTTTTGCTTGTTACGCCACAGCACCCCAATAAATCCTTAAAAAAAGGTTTTTTTTTTTTTTTTTAAAAAAAACAAATGATCAGCTGTAAGCAATTTTTTAAAAAACATTTTGTGTATTTGGTGCAGGGTCTTGTTGCGCAGCTTTAGCCTCCCCAGAGCTGGGATTACGGGCAAGCGCTACACCTGGTCTCAGAGGCTGGCTCCTTGCGCCTGGGGTGGAACCTTGGTCCTTTCACAGGTCCTGCAGGCACTTAGACCGCTGAGCTACCTCTCTAGCCCCAAGCTAGCAAACTGCACCTAGTGCTCAAAGCTCAGCGAGAAGGGCCTCTGAAGTGCGCTGTAGTTAGACTTCCCTTCAGTTGCCTTGCTCACGCCACCCTGATTGAAGCAGACCGAGTACAAAAGGTGCCTGAAGCAGGACTTGCCTTGTTTGGCATCAGACCACACCTCCGCCTGCACAGCAATGTGCCACACCTGATAGCAGTGTCAGTGTCCCCACAGTGACCTTCCTTCAGGTCGTGGGTAAGCATGGCCTTCCCAGCACTCTCCTTCTTCGGTCCATTTCCTCTAGTGGTTCATCGGGTTTTGTTGTCGCTTTCTTCTCTTTGTTGCCTTTTATGGCATTCTGAAATACTTGTTTATGCCCTTTCCTGCCTCATCAAAATACTAACTTTTGTCTATCATTTATTTTTTTAATTTTTTTAAATTTTTTTTGTATTTTTAGGGAAGGGTCTACATGCTGTTCAAGGTCTCACTACTAGATCAGACTCATAGTGATCTGCCTATTTACAGCCTCCCGAGAGCTGGGATTATAGGTGCGCACCACCATGCCCAGTCTCAATTGTCTTCTCAGCACACCCCAGGGGCAGGGCCAACAGGCAGGACTGGGGATCGAACTCCCGGCCCCTGTGCTTGATTGCAGGTGCATTAATCCGCTGAACTATTTGGCTGGCCCTGTCTATCATTTTAAAGTAATGTGTACTTTACTTTTTAGAGGCTTAATACAAAATTTTAATTTTATTCTCTAATTTCAAAGCAGTAGACAAATACATGCCTTTCATTTAATGGCAACTGAAAAGGTTTCCTGACCCAATACAATAATTCGAGCCTACTTGATCTTTGCTTTGTACCACAAACTGTTCAAATAGTCTACACTTGCTAACACACGCAGAATGACAGCTACCTCTGGGTGGAGGTACTTTTATTACCTCATTTTGAAGAGGGGGAGAGTGAGGCAGAGACTCTAATAACAGGTTCAATTTATAGAGCTAATTAGCAGCTGGCCACATGCAAATCCATCCAGTTTGCTTCAGAAGCCAGGTCCTTGAGGGGCTTTACGCTCATGGTTCTTGAAGTGTGCCTCAACTACGGGCATGGGCATTATGTGGAGACTTGTTAGCAATTCTCAGGATAGTACAATGACTTAGAAACCCTTAAAATGGGGCCTAGGGATCTGGATTGTATCAGGCCTTCTGGGTGATATTTTCATATCCATTCAAATTTGCACACCTCTGATTCAGAAAGGTATGAAAGAACTGCCACAACAGATTTTAAATTTTCTTTTTTTATGGTAGCAAATCACTGTACATATACGCATACATCTAGTTTATCCTCATTGCAACCATTTTTAATCTACTTTAATTACAATAGGTTACAGTTAAAATGTCCACATTTCTTTATCCAAGATGATTCTATAGACTAAAATTGGAAAGCTAAGAGATAAATGGTATTGCAAAAGATATTTTCCCCCAAGCAAGGTTATTCAAAATTCTTAAGCAGCAGAATCAATTCAAAGCTGGCAACAAACTCCAAAGCTTTTACTTTAGATCTTCACACGATTTGCTGCTTCCTTGGCCCGCAAGGGTCCCAGCTGGGAAGAGTATCCCAGTTGCCTCATGTTTACCTGCTGACACTTCTCTGTCGGTATCCTTTCCCACACTTTCTCTAGGACTGAATTTATGATTTCAAGAGGTTGAAAACTATGAACAGTGAGTAACACTTCCAAGGAAGCTCAGTTTATACTTTATCATCTACCTGCCTGAGGTTAAAAGGTTAAAAGCAAAATGCAAGCTTAACCAGTATCACGGGGTACTTTGCTACAGTAACAAGCAATCTGAACACATGGTTTGCATTGTACTAATGTATCTCCTGAAACAGTTATGCACCCCCACTGTTGATTTCAAGTCTCAAACTAAATCAACACGCTCTTCTTTATCTCAACCAGAGTGTTCCCAACGACCTGGGAAGATGGAAACACTATCTAAAACATTGATTAGCTACAGGAAGTTTTAGGACTTTTTTTCTTCTCAAACAAACTGGTATTTCAGTGCAGAGACTAGTTAGTAAAATGTATTACTACCACAACACTTTAGAGGACACAAGCCTTGGAGAGAGAGATAGCTTGTCCATCCAACATCGGAATTAGTGTCCTGTGGTAAAACACAGATGAGAAATTGCCACAGAGGGAGGAAAAGTAAACATACAAAACACAAATAAATCCATAGAAAAATATTTCCCAGGCACTCGTATCTTCATTTTTTCTTTTTGAGGCAGAGAAGTCTCCTGAATGATTCTTGGAACTAGGAATTACTCAAGATGATTATAATTGAATGGCCAGCAGGAAATGCTGCTGTGATTTCCTTCATCACAAAGAACTGATGGCTTCTGAGAGGAATTTTGAAGGTCATATTTACCGTGAAGGCAGCGAGATAAGAAAGAAAGAAGCAAAAGAAGGACACAGCTGTTTTTAATGCATTGATATGGGCTTCTTTCTTCACATTGGAAGGACCAGGAGGGCTTCTTTGCATCCGACGGGTGTGCTTGTAGAGGGAGATGAACAACATCGAAATGCAGATGGTGAACACAGCGAGAGGAATTATCAACGTCAAGTTAAGAAGAAGAAATCCGTCAGTGTCCTGTACCTCGACCTCTGTCTGCTCCTCCGAGGCGTTTCCGAACACCTTAACAGGGACTCGTAGTCCAATACAAATAGCTGCAGAGCTCAGAGAGGCCAGGACGCCTCCCAGGAGCAGCCAGAGCATGGGCTTTGCAACTCTAACCTTCAGCCAAAGAAAGCAGGACTGAGTGAAGACCGTGATCTTGAGGCAATAAAATACAGAAAGGCAGGCGGTGAACCAGGAACTGGTGGAGCTGAAAAGGAGCCCAATGAACATCATTTTGACCCTATAAATAAATTCTTCATAGTCGCATGGAAAGAATACAGCGACCAAACTGTGTGTAAGTAACACAATCTGCAAGCCCAGTCTAGATAACGCTGTGCATATTAAGAGGATTTGCAGCGGGGCTGGCTTCCTGACTATGATGCAGTCATTACAGCTCATAACGAAAAGAAAGGCATTTGCTGTAATTCCTGCCAAGAATTCTGCTGTCACAATAATCACAGATGAAAGACATCTAAGGAAGGCACGCTCATGTTCACTATGAGGAACCATAGTGTCTCCTGCAGATGGTCTTAAGGACCTCCTCCTGATGATCTTGCACGCAGGACCACATAGCACTGAGACGTCTGGTCTTCTGTGAACTTCTGGATCCAAGTAGAGTCTTACACTCATTTTGCAATAACGAAGAAAATCAGATGGACTCCCTGTGAAGTCAGGTGCTCCATCCATGAAAATACAGCAATGCAAATCCAAGCATTTGAGTGGTGGTGAAGTCTTCCAATGCTGTCAGCAGGAAAACTTTCATATATACCCTGTTCCATTTTCATTCTTGCCATCTTTGCAAAAAATCTGATTAGAAGCATATTTCATTTAGATTACTGCTATTTTGTTCTGCCTTTTATGTCTTCCTAAGGTCAAATGTCACATCCTCAAGAAAGATGCTTATTTCTTATTATTATGACAAATATCTAATCTCAGATCTGGCTTTTCCTCCACTACCCATTTTACCTTATAATACCTCTGAGACACTCTAATAAAATTTCCTATTTTCATCCTCAATTTTGCTCAAAGGTAATTTCCTCTTGAGCATTAGTTTCTAGAATACAACTTTTTAAAAGTAAGAATCTTTCATTCCACTAAATAGATTTTTTTTGATAGAATGCTGACCTTAGAGTTAGCAAACTTGAGTTTCAAAAGTAGTGCATAATTGCTCTATATTCTTACATCATCATGAACTTGTCTTAGAATTATTACACATTTCATCAAGAACAATTTTTTTTATTTTAA